GCTAAAATCATGCTAGAAAGAGAGTTAACAGTGCTGGACTTGTGCAGGACTGTGCCTTGGTCTTGTGTCCTCAGAAAACAGGAACTCAAGACACCGGTGAAAATAAGTACGAAACTGATGCTGAACAGGATGCCAGYTATTTGGTTAGAAATACTGTGTGTGTTAATTATGGTTTCAGYGTCCATATCCTCCTGTGAAAAAAATAGTGACAAAAGTGAAAACAAGACAAAGCAGCTTATTCTGCCTGTCTCCTTCTAAGGGCAGAATAGCAGTTCCAATTTGCTGTCCAATTGTTACTGAATCAATAGGCAACAGAGTTGCTGAAATTGATAGGCAACAGAATAAGGGTCTAATGCATTTTACAAGTATGCTGTCAGGAAATCCATTCAGACTGACATAATAGCATAGAACTCTAGAATGGTTTGGTTACAACCCTGCTGCCATGAGCAGGGACACCTTCAGCTACACCAGGCTGTTCAGAACCCCATCCAACCTGGCTTTGAACAGCTCCAGGGATGGGGCATCCACAACTTCCTTAAGCAGCCTGTTCTAGTGCCTCACCATCCTCACAGTAAAGGATTTTTTCCCAATATCTTATCTAAACCTACTCTCAATTTGAATCCRTTCCCCCTTGTCCTCTCACTGGATGCCCTTGTAAATCTTACYCCATCTTTCCTTTCTGGGTAGAGTTACCTTTTCTGCTTATCTGTGGTGGTTGTTTATGATGTTTGTTATGATATAGACATCTGGCCTGTTAATGTTATGGTCTGTCAGTGGATTGCACATGCTYAGATCCTTCTCCAGCCTACAGAACCAGTCTGCCTCAGTTTGCACTGTATTGGAAACCCCATTTGCACACACTGCTGGTGCACTGGCACAGACACTATGGAAATGAGTCACAGGCAATGCAATACTTATAATTTTGCCAAATGGGGCAATGTATTGGCAATTTTGTTGCATCTGCCATAATATTCAGGCCAACTTTCTCTTCTGCAAGGAAAAGCAAACAGTCTTCCAGACCAGACTAATTTAAAAGGAAGTATGACGAATTCTGCCCATTCATTCCATTCATACATTTCTGTTCACTAGTTACTATTTTATTTATATAATTTAGAGTAGCAAAGATCTGGTACCTCATAGCACCAGTGCTCTGGGTAGCTATTACCAACCCATGGACTACTGAGTGGACTACTGAGATCAAACCCCTTTCTACAAGAAAAGCATAAAAATATGTTGTTGCTTAGCCTGGACTGATCATCTAGTTTCTTGCTAATCCTTTATTTGAAGGAGTCCTAGTCTGAGTGCCCATTTAATTCTTTGAAATGTACAGAAAAAGAAACAAGTTGGAGTTTGGAGTATAGATAGAGAAATGGGAAAACAATTGAGGAAAGAAGAACAAGAGAAAGTGAGAAATACAGGTAACAATTCCAAAGCCTCACAGCAGATTCACAKGAGGAACTATCATTAACTACAGCAGAAGGGAGCTGACAATATCCTACAGACATTTCTGATTACTTCAGCAAATCAGAGAATGGGAAGACAAATTGCTGATRAGTTGCAGTGACCTGAGATTAACTTATCCTGATAATCAATCCAGAGGGGAAATGAATATTAAAGTTACGGGTATGCTTCTGTAAAGCACCCACCTCTATGCCATTTTMCAGGATAAGCATGTGATGTTAGAGGTACATTAGACACAATTGTCAAAGGTCATCAGCAAAACAAGTCTTAGTTAAACATAGGGTTATTAGACCAGACAAAACCACTGAAAATATTTCCTTCAGAAGGTATTTCCCTTATGTCTGAAATTGAAGACCTGACCTGCACATCCTCCATTCTGCCCAACTTCCTAACCTACCTCTAGACCTCTGCGCTTCYTGCTGGTCACACATGGAAACCCTGCAGGAGAAGGATGTCAAAAACTCACAGATCAGGAACAAGACAGAGTATCTGATATTCAGTGCAGCCAATAAATTCAGGGCAAATCAAGCAACCAGCAGATTGCAAGAGAATGCCTTAAATGGCCTGTATGATTCTTCCATTCAATTTAACCTAAACTGTCAGACAGCACTGATATATGATCAGGGAAAAATGAGAGGCAATGGAGGCCATGGAACAGTTTTGGAAGGGATTATACTCCCATTTTTCTTCATTCTCTTATCAGGCCTACAAACCCATATTTCCTAAGGTTTTAATTTATATTGCAATATTGTTTATAAGAGCCCTTTTCTCCAGAAATAATAAACAAGGAAGTGCAAATATGATGGGATTCAGGCAGGGATAGGAGCAACACGTATAATCCAAAAGGTAGCTGCCTGAGAGGATTAAATGCCAGCACTCATRAGCAGTGATAAATTCTTTTCACAACACAGACAAGTTTTAATGCTTTAAATTGGACTACATTCAAGTTTTAGGTCARGGGTTGCAAGGTCTTTAGGGGTTTGGTTGTTATGTTTGCTTGTTTAGAGAAAACAGAAAGTATTTCCAAGACTGCATATTGGAGGAAATATTCCTTTCCCTTCAACTTACAGGATCAGAGAGAAGAGTATCAGGTCTGTGTTCTCAGTAACTCTTGTCTGCTTCCACTGAGCATGCCAAAGCTGCTGTATTCCTTGTGGCAGAATAATGAAGTTCATTAGAACCYCAGATGGCCCATATTTATTTCAGCACATCATTTTTTAGCGCTGTTCTAGATAACAGTTTTGATTTATAATTCCCTGCGTGGTTAAAAGACACCGGTGTTCTCGTATTTTTCACCATCAGTTGAAATCTACTAAAACAACAGCCCCTGTGGGGTRTTTGCTGGATGCACGGCTGGGGTTTTTCAGCAGTCAGCCTTTGCAACTTACCCTTGATTCAACRAAGCTGAAAGACATCTGACTTTCAGCTAATAGAGTGAGGCAGAGAGCATTTTTCAAGGGATTGGGAGGGAATCTCAGCAGGATTGCAGGCATACAAATAAAAACATTGCTGTGTTTTATAGAAAGACAATAAATACGTTATGTAGTGAGGATGCACACTCCTCCTCCTACCCTCAAAGGACATGTTTCACTGTTCAAGGGGAAAGAAAAGCAGAGGCAAATCCTGCTCTGGGTTTACTGAAACATTAGGCTCCAATGAGCTGACACCTGTAAGACTGACCTTAACATTGCTTAACATGTTTGGTTACACATGTTCACATGTAACTTAACTAYATAAAGGACTGTTTTCTTAGYGTGTCCATAGTAAAGCATTTTMATTGCTCTTTACCTAACATATCARCTACTTCCAAAGATTACAATATTTTAGCACATTTATTCTTTCCTTATATTCATATCTGTTCCAATTTTTRATTCAACTGAGAGCTGAAGAACAAGAGAACAATGTTAATGACTTCTGGGCTTGCCATAAGGAGAACTGAGACGATCAGTAAAAGATTCCCAATAAGCACACTGTCAAGTACTGTGTATATGAAAAAGGATGACCAACTTTCTGCTCTAGGCCAGCTGTGCCTCTTCAACACTCACAGCTTCACTACTGCTGACAATGCAGTACAAACAGGCAACAAACAGCACTTGCATGTGGAGCATCTCTTGGCTAACACTAGACTGCGTGATCCGTAACAATTCAGTCCCACTGGGMAGCATGGGAAAAATACACTGTTGCAAGAATTACAAGTTCTGACTTCTGATTCAATGGAACTTCAACGACAGGTCTTGCATTTTAAAAGATATGTTCTCTGAGGATGTGAATCTTTCCATTGTATTCATGTATCATTTTGSTCAACATCTGTGCTCTCAGATTTCCCTTTCTATTCCTCTCACACAATGTCAGTCCATTTGATTTGGCATTCATTCTGCTCACCTCTGTAGTCATTCTAAGGCAGCTGGTTAGGCATGGAAAACATAATAAAAATAAAAAAACAGCAAGCAAAATCCCAGAAGAGAATAGGTTCACTACCTCAGAGTGCTTTCATTTTATATAAATAAGCAATGTGATTTAGATTCAGGGAATGTGAGAATCCAAGCTTTGACTCCAATGTGCAGATGTTACTTTGTGCAAAAAAAAGGAACATGTTTAAGTGGGTAATCCTTTTGATGCTGGAATTAATTCATAAATTTATAAGTTGTCAATTTTCCTCTACTTGGAGTCAGCCTTGACTATCTTGAATTTATTTTCTATAAGACAGATCCTYGAGTTTCTGAAATGTCTGGGACTGAAAAGCTGTACTATCAGTGTTAAGCTCAGCTACTCAAATTTATTGGCATTTATTTTACAGATTTCTTCTGTGCAAAATCCAAGAGTAAATGGAATTTATTTGTAAATCATCCAAGATGTTATCGGCTCAATGGCTATAAACATTACTTTGATTTCTATGCACTCTGCTTTCCAGTCTTTTAAAAGTTATTGCCTCAGCTACATGCAAGCCGCATTTTTGTCGCAAAACCCACAAACCTCATAGCCCAGACTAATCTGAAGTTTAAAAAAGCATATTTAATGCATTGGTACACATATTTTCCTTCACTAAGTATTTCACACTTTATGCCACGAGCTTTTTTTCTACACGGACCTAGAATGACTGCCTTACAAAATGTCTAGATACCTGGTTTCATCCGATAAAATTTGTTGCAAGGAGAGAATGAAAAGTTTAAAGAAATCACAGCTGATTTCTGAAACTGGAAAGCTGCAGCAAATAGATCTGAGTTCATTATATGACACTGGGACTAAAATATCAGTTCTKATTATACAATTAAGATTCTGTGAAAGCCACTTCACTTTTTTCTCTATGCTTTAAAACTCCATTCCCACCAGATCATTTTTACCTCCACAAAAGATGGATTGACCCTGGCTGGATGCTGGGTGCCCACTGAGCCACTCTCTCACCCCTCTCCACAGCTGGACAGGGGATTTTAACAAAAGGCTCATAGGTCGAGATAAGAACAGGAAGAGATCACTCAGAAATTACCATCATGGGCAAAACAGACTTGACTCAGGAAATCAGTTTAATTTATTACCAAACAAATCAGAGTAGAATACTGAGAAATCAAGATAAATCTTAAAACACCTTCCACCCATGTACCACTTCTTCCTGAGCTTAACTTCAGTCCCAAATTCTCTTTCTCGCCCCCCGCAGAGGCTAGGCAGGACAGGAAATGGGGGCTGTGGTCAGTTCATCACACGTTGTCTCTGCTGCTCCTTCCTCCTCCAGGAAGAATTCCTCACACTCTTTCCCTGCTCCAGTCTGGGTTCCCTCCCATGGGAAACATTCCTCCATGAACTTCCATGAAAAACTGGTRTATTACTCAGACTTTAATTCCATGAGTTTAAATTTTTATTTATCAACCTCCATAGTTTCAACTTTTGTCACTTCTGAGAATATATAAGGAGTGAACCAAAAAAGCTGTAAAACAAGAAGAYAAATAAAGAGGTCAGAAAATGTTCATCTAATAAAAAAAATAAACTTTAAAATATAAACAGAAAAGTAAAATTCATCACTGTGGTGTTAAGCTCAGGTTTTGCTGAACATTAGGGACAACTATTGCTCACCCAGTCGCCAAGGAATTTAAGTGCCAAGTCTCTATTTTGGCCTGGGCTTGCAGCCCTCCAGGTCACTGYTCTCCTGAAATGCCAGTTAAAAAGCAGCAGGAGCCAGGCACGGGTATCTCTCACTCTTGTACAAGACCTTTCCCCAGCAGGTTTCTTCTTGTAAAACTAAACATGCTCCCCACGTTCCTCATGGCCACAGCTCCTGAAGATGTGTGCAACACCATTTCTGCCACATGCTTRTTCTCCCCATGGCAACCTCACAGCAAACTCAAGTAAAATAAACAGATATTGGTTACTAATTAAAAAAGCCAATTTAATTTCTAAATTTAAACAATTAAATTTCTAAATTTTACCTGGGGTGACAGTCTCAGTGAGTGCGGAATAATCAAATGCGTTACACATTTTCCTTTGCCAAAATGTATTTAAGCTGTTCTAAGCAGCTTTGTTATGGATMCTCATGGCTGAGTAATGGACAAATTTCCTGTTGAACAATTTCCTGTGATATTGCTTTGGAGGCAACACCAAAAGAATGGTAGAAACACCTACCATCTGTAAGCTACATCTGAGTGTTCAGTGTCAGTACAGATTTGATGAAAAGCTCAAGAACTTGTCAGCGCATTCGCAGCAGTCCACATTCCCATTACAAAAGGGAAGATTAGTATCATCAACTTCAGTCAATTCAAAGTTGACTACTTCAAAACAAATAACCTTAAGCCCTAAAAGTAAGAAGAGAATGAATGAGGCACCGCCAGAGGGTAATTAATCTCATGTTTTAGACAAGATGAATCACTCTCTGCAGACACTTAATTAATTTCACTGACTCAAAACTCAGTGTTTAAACTTAGACAGCTTCCAAGATCATAAGTCAGATAGGATAAAGGTTGCACAAAACATCTATTATCTGAACTCTGTAATCAGATATCTGCATAGGTATTTTCATTGGGAATATATGCCCAGAAACACCTAAAAAAGCAGGTTTCATAATGACAGGCAGATTCTGAATGCAAATCTTTCAGAATTCAAAAGACAGTCATTACAGAGCCTGCAGTTACTAATATCTAAAGACACAATACAGTGTTATACTCTATATATATATATATGAGCCTTCAGTAAAAAGATCCATGATTTTTCATAATTCTGCTAATAGACTTTTCAAATATCTTGTCTGAAATGAACAAACTGGAATTTCCAAGGAGAGGAGCTCTCAACAAGGCTACAGGAGTTAGAAAAACTAAGTAAAGCAGAAATGCTACAGTAAAAGTGCCTGATTATTTGTGGCTTTAGTATTTAAAATGTATTACTCACTTTTGTATCATCATGATTGAAATTCTGCACACACAATATGTGACACGGTAATTCTCCAGTTTTCTTATGCAGCAAATGCCAAATGTACTGATACCATAAGTATGTGTCATGAGCAAGGGAATAAGCATATAACAAAACAAAAGAGCACAGAGGTGCTACAGAGATAGTGAGGGAGCTGGCTCATGACTATCCCAGACTGAAGATGTCAACTTCTCATGATCAATTARCTGGTGTTAGCCTTTCTGTTAAAATGTTGATCACCCTCCTCCAGTCATTTTGCAGGAATTGGAAATTTCACTTCTGATCACAACATTTTTGGGCTATGTTAGGAAATGTTTTCCTTCTCTTTCTAAAATGAAGTTAATGGCTGGGATTCCACATGAGGTTAAGAAAGCTGGAGAGCAAGTGCAGACTCCCAATGCATATGAAATGCTTTCAGCTATTCAAAACACCCGCATAGGGGTGGTAAATTTGACTGAGGAAGATCCATATTTCTACAGGGGCTGTGAGAGAGCAGAAGAAATATCCCACAAAACCTACATGACACTAGAGATCTACACACACACATGCCCAAAGGTAGGTGCTTACAATCCTGCTGCTTCCTTAGGATCTCATTACAACTAATCAGTTTAATCCAAGGAGCTTAGAAAGCATCATCCTATTGAGTAGACACTGACAGCTTGGTTTCATTGTCCATCAGTAGACACCCAGTATTATTTCAGATGTCATAAAGTATTCAAGACTTACGGCTCCCAAACATGACAGAGGACTTGGGGAAGACCAGTGTCCCTCTGGAGTGGCAGCTAGAGACCAGCAGGGTAGCTTTTTAATATTTCAAACAGCACTCAATATCTGCACAACCATCTCTCACAGCTGGTCACCTGAAGCTTCCTCTGGGCTCCACTGACTGTATTGACCCATTTTATTTGACTAAGACTAAGAACCTAATACCATTTGAGATGCTCAAAAGTCTTCCATGTGACTTTCAGAAATGCTAAGGACTCCTTCAGACCTTTTGTAATACTTATCAGATCCACACAGGTGACAAATGTTAATCTCAGACTGAATCCCAAGCAACATTCCTTATCTAACATTTAA